CGAGTCTCTCCCCCCCCCCACAGCGGCAGAGGGAATGAGCAAGTGGCTGGGTAGTGCTTAGCTGCTGGCTGGAGCTAAACCACAACAGACACCTGCCCCAATAAACAGCTTTGAAGTTGGCCACATTCTGCCCTTTGCAGTGGCAGCCTCTGGGTCTCAGCCACCTTGCTTCTGTGTTTAAAACAATACCAGCAACTATTTGTAGCTACAAAAATAAAGGTGGGGATATTTTTTTTTCTACTGCTCTTCGCTACTGTGTTGGGTTTCAGCAGAAGTGAAACTGGCAGGGGCGCAGCCTGCTCCCCCCAGGGCTGTGCACCCATGAGCACCCCTCTGACTCTCAGCGGGTCTCTCACCACATGGAAGAGGCAGCTCCCACCCTGCCCAGGTGACTCCCAGCATTTGGAGATGCTCTCCTGCCCCAGCAGTTGCCCCTCAGCCTCTCTGCTCACCCAGCTGCTTCTTCCCTTGCCATAATTGCACACCCTCTGCACGTGAGCTGCTACAAAACGAGCGCTCCTGAATTACTGGACATACAGGCTCATCCTCAGCAATTCCATAAAATTAGACAATTGCAGTAAAACATTTTACAAGGAAGATATCCAGAGACGGGAACTGAGTTTAATTTACATTGGCCAATTATAAAGTCATTGTAGTAAGTTATGGCCTTTGTGGGATGGGTTCCTCCTTTTGTCTACCGTGAGTCCCACTGGAGCAGCATTAATTTCTCTGGAACTGGAAAATGCACGTGACCTGCAGGGCTCTCACTTTGGCTTTAGCTGGAAGTGAGCAGAGTAATTCCTGCAGAAAACCCTGCCAAGGCAATTTTACTTAGAAGCAGAACAGGGTAAGGAAAGATTTATGGTGATTCAAGAATGATCCAAGGGGAGTTGGACACAATGAGGCATGTTCCTGAAGCATCAGTGGAAGTTCATAAAGGATATGAACAGCTCAGGGGAAGTTCCTCTGGCATATTCTTGGACCTTTCTCCTAAAGATTTAAAGGCAAAGACAGGAAAATACATTGTGTAGGTAACTGTTTATAAATGGTATATGAAGTTAAAAAGCCTGTGAGTGAGGAGAGCATCCGGCACAGGAGCTGGGAGGCTGCGAGCCACGCTCCCGCTCAGCCCGCATGGGAGCTCATCACACCTTGTCCCTCCTCCATCCTCCGACTGCCAGCGTGGGCACTGCAACATAGACATGGTGGGTCGGAGACCTCTTGGTGCCCTGGGCACCATGGGCTGGGGCTAGACCCTTCTGCACCTCCTGCGGGGCTCAGGCGGGCCTGGCTCGTTGCGGGTCGGCTCCCATGGCAGAGGGGGGATGCACCCAGCTCCCGTGCCATGGGGCAGGCGACGAGCTGTGTCCCGCCAGGGCTGCAGCTGGGGCTGACTCCTCTGTTCCCTTCCAGCCCTGGGCTGGGATTGGGGTCTCTGGGGGTGGGAGAGCCCCGTGGCAGAGGAGGCGGAGGCATGGGGCAGGATGCGGTCTGGCAGCGGGACTGGGGTGGGAGGGGAAGAGGCCAAGGGCAGGGAGCGATGCTCTGCACGCTCAGAGGAAGTGTGAGCACCGCTGCCCGCTGAGGGCCAGACGCGCTTGGTGCTTGTCGGTGGCTGGGCAAGGTGCATCTGCGGCGCTGACATGGTAGGTCCTGCTCCTTTCCTTGGGGATGGGTCACGTTCCGTCCAGAAAACGGGGTTAGGGAAGGGCAGGGCTGCAGGCAGGCACTGCCAGGAACTGGTGCCGCTGCCGGGGACCCCTGGAACGGACACAGGCTGCCCTGGAGAGACCCTGCTCCAGGCAGCGAAGCCATGCCAGGTGCACACGGCAGTGCCAGGGACACAGGGCACTGCCGCTGCAGAGGCAAAAAAAGGGGGGGGGATAATGGTGGGGGGCACAAGGTATGCCTTGGACTCAGGGGCTCCCCAGGAGTGAACTGCACTGCTGGCACAGCCTCCCCCACTGCCTAGCTGTGCTGTGGGCACAGCCCCCCGCAAAGTGCCTCGCAGGAGGGGCCCTTTCTGCAGCAGAGCTGTACCTGGCCAGCGGCACCGCATATGCCTGCGTGCGAGCTGGCACAAGCAACGTGCCCTTGTGGCTACCAGGACTGCCTGGTAGCAGTGAGAGTGCACGGTGGGGTGCATGACCCCCTGTGGGACGTGCATGCTCACACCTCCCTCCCTGGCACGCAGGGCACTGCTGCGGGACTGCAGTCTGCTGGGAGGACGTGGACTCTGGGCTCTCATGGCATCTGCTACCTGGGCATCGCTGCCATCGCATGGGGTAAGCCACCCATCGCCTGTTTGGTAAGCCCAGTGTGACCCTGCTGCTGAGGAGCCTGCAGGTCCAGGAAACTGGAGAAGGGCAGCAGTGTTATTTTGGGGACTCATCAGTCACAGCCTCCATGGTTGCCAGCCCCAGGGCTGGATCCTTCGGGGCTGGGAGGGGGCTGTGTCTGTCTGTACCACTTCCCTCCAGCCAGACCCATCGCAGGACCATGCTCCCCCAGGGAAGGCCAGGCCATGCACAGGGTCCCCACATGGTGTCTGGTTCCCCAAATGCAGCATGGCAGCCGGTGCATTGTACCATGAACTGGAGAAAGGCAGCAGCAGCTCTACGCCCATGCCCATGCTGCAGAGCTGGGCACAGACGTAGCCACAGGACCCACAAGTGCAAGGGTGGGGAGCACAGCTGGGGCAGCACCACGAAGAGTTAAAGCTGCTAATTGACATCTGGAGAAGAAATCAGAGTAAAAATGAATTTGGTTTTGCTGCCTGTAGGGTATTTCCTTCCCATGTTGTCATTACACAGAGCAAAACCTACTGGTGCCAGCTCTCTCCCTAGAGATCCACCAGGAGCTGGGTTATTTTCCAAAGGACCATTCGTGATTGAGCTAAGCAACAGAGGCAAATGCAGAAGTGTCAGGATGAGGCTGAGATTTATCTCTGAGGGGAAAACAAACATGCAAAGGTACCCCAACTGCAGCTGGTGCTGAGCACTGCCCTGGGGGGAGGTGTCGGGGGCTGCCAGGGGAGCCGAGGGGTTGAAATGCAGGCAAACCCCCCAGCTGAGGGGGTTCAGCTCCAGGTGGGGCAGTGACAGGTAACATAAGGCTGAGGGGAAGGAGTGGGGGTGAGCTGTGCTACAGAGAGGGTGTTACTGGTGGAGCTGGAGGAAAGAGGCAGGAGAGCATGTGGATGATGGGCACATAGCAGGTGTGTTCCCTTGGTCCTTCTTGGTTTGGGGATGGGGTGTGTGAGGGTAGCAGGGTGTCTGCCTTGAGCCGTGCTGGGGAGGTAGTGAGAGCCAGGAGGTGGATGGTGGGATCTGAAGACTGCAGGCTCCCAAGAGGTGCTCTGAGCTTCTGTCCTGCAGTCCCAAACTCCCAAGAGGTGAAAAGGAGGGCTGTTGTTGAAGGTTGCATTTTCCTCAGCTTTTTTGTTGAGCGAAGTGGATAGTTTGCTCTTTCACAAGGAAAAACAGACAAATTATGGGAATTTTGCTTAGAAAAATGCATAATTATTGACCGAACTAGAGCCCTAATTAGACTTGGGAAGCCCTAGATTTGCATTTAATCTGCAATGCCCAGACCTTTGCCTGCATGACCACAGTGTGATACACTCTCCTGAGACACAGCGTACCCCAGGCTGGTTATTTGGAGCAAACTTTGATCCCCATCTCACTGTCTGCACAGATGGAGATATGATCCTTGTATCACTTTCTGCAGTTGTGGAGATACCTGCTACTGGGGAGGAGGGAGGAAGCTTTTTTTTGTGGCTAAAACTCTTTGATTGCATCAAGTTGTGGTGCAAAATGCTGTAAATAAGAGCAGGGTTTCAGCCAAGTGCCCTTCGCTTCTGGGTGTGGGTTCCAGTTAATCTCAGGCTTTGCCCTGCCTGGTGGGCATGACCAGGATGTGAACTTGAATTTTGCAAGATGTTGTTTTGCAATACTGAATTTTACAAGACTCTTCAGGCCATCCCTAGCTCAAATGAGCAGCTCGGGATCCAAATGTTTTTGGGGGTGAGGGCACGCTTGTTGCTCTGCCTTGCTCCAGGCTGACTCTTACGTAGAAGTGTAAAGCAAGAAAACCCAAGTGGTACACCTCGATGTTGGGCTTGCCCCTTTGGGAAAACTTTGTGGGCAGGGGAGCGGGACTGTGGAGTTGAGCTTTCACCCCTTGTGGGTTGGCATCACTTCTGCCACCTGGGCTCTGCCTGCCCCATCCCATGCTGCCCTCTGTCTCAGCCTTCACCCCATCTCCCCCACCTTCCTCATCCCCGTGCCGTCCCCCTCTGTCCCACCTCAGCTCATTCTGCCATGCCTGATCCACCCAGGTCTCCGTGTACCCTTAGAGCCCCATTCTCATCCATACTTGTCCCTTTGTCCCGTCCCCTCACCCAGCTGGTGGCCGGCATCCCTTGGCCCTGATGCCAGCCCTAGCTCACCCTCATGTCCCCAGGGACCCCACACCTGACCTTGCTCCCATCCTTTCTGTGTCGATCCCGGACCTCATCCTCTCTCACAGGCATAGTGACATGGGTGGAGGTGGGTGCCTGGACGTACCACTACAGTGACCAGGAGGACTACACGTGGGAGCAGGCCAGGAACTACTGCCAGACTTTCTTCACCGACCTGGTGGCGATCCAGAACAAGAGGGAGATCGCATACCTCAACGAGAGCCTGCCCTTCCACAAGCGCTACTACTGGATTGGCATCCGCAAGCTGGGTGGCATCTGGACCTGGGTGGGCACCAGGAAGGCTCTGACAAAGGAGGCAGAGAACTGGGCAGCTGGGGAGCCCAACAACCGTCGCTCCAACCAGGACTGCGTGGAGATCTACATCAAGCGGGATCAGGAGTCGGGCAAGTGGAACGATGAGCCCTGCAACCGGAAGAAAAAGGCGCTGTGCTACCTGGGTAAGCAGGGGGGACTGCAGCGTGGGCTGGGGACCTTGGCAGGGCGGTCAGCGGCTCCTGATGACCATCCTCTGTGTGCACAGCCTCCTGCCAGCCCTTCTCGTGCAGCCAGCGTGGTGAGTGTGTGGAGACCATCGGGAGCTACCACTGCGAGTGCTACCCCGACTTCCACGGCCCTGAGTGCGAGCACGGTGAGCCATCCATCCCTATCCCTCCCTCCCTGCTGGAGAGCCTGAGCCCTGGGGGCAGAGTGGGCAAGCTCGTTATGCTCCTAATGGGCTGGTGGCACTGTGTCTCTCCCAGTTGTGCAGTGCACTGAGCTCGAGCCCAAGGAAGCGCGCATGAACTGCAGCCATCCCTTCGGAGAGTTCAGCTACAACTCCACCTGCGTGTTCACGTGCCAGGAGGGGTTTGAGCGGCAAGGGGCAGGCACGCTGCGGTGCCTGCCTTCCCAGAAGTGGTCAGCAGAGACCCCCACGTGCACAGGTAGGGCCCGCCAGGGGCTGGGGGTCTCAGGGATGCAGCACTGATGCTTTCGGGGGCCTGCCCTGTGTGCCCAACATTGCTCAGGCAAGCAATGGGCTGGGCTTGTTCATGCCCTTTGGGGAAGCAGCTACCAGTGCTGCATGCAGGGAGTGGTTCCCCGATGACACTGCGATGGGCAGAGTGGCTGTGAGCTCTGGATAAGCCCCCTGCTCTCCCCAGCTGTCCCCATGCTCTTGCTCCCTGTCCTGAATCACACCCAAGCACCAGCACCCTGCACCACCTCCATCACCCTGGTGGCACCATCTGCTCCTCCCTAAGCCCACCCTGATCTACCTTGGGAGGGTGCTTTGCATCTCAGGGGTCCTCAGAGAAGAGCGAAGGAGGGCTGCCATCCCTCAGCCAGGGGAAGGGTGTATCCTGGCAGGGCTGGGCCACCACAAGCGGGGTGAAAACTGGTGAGATGAGGTTAGATACAAGCTGGGAGCAAGCGAGCGGGGCAGGAAGCCACAAAGGAGAGAAAGCTGTGGTATGTTACGCTGCAGGGGCAGGGAAAGTTCTCCTGTCGGCGCTGCAAAGGTTTGCAGCTGGGCGCTCCAGAGAGGTGCTGGGCTTTTTTGGGGTGGGGGTTGAAAGCCCTGCTCCACCTTCCCTGTGTGTGGTGGATCTGTAGCCTTGCACAAGAATGGGACAAGTTGAAGACTGGAGCAGACACAGGACACAACTGGGGACGCTCTGTATTGGGAGACCCAGCAGGTGGGGCCAGGGGGTGGGCAAGGTCTCTGTATATATACATTTTTCTAAAAAAAAAAAAAAAGCCTGCCTTGAAGTTAGTGCTGCCGATGACATCTGTGCTGGGTGAGCCTGTGGTCCAACATGGGGCTTCTTTTGGGCAGCTGAGACCAGCAAAGCTTTCTGCACTTAAGGGTAATGGGCACAGATGTGACGTGACTGTCCTGTGGCCAGCAACCCCAACGGTGGCAGGGTCAGGAACTGGCTCCCAATTTTGTGGAAGTCCCCCCAGGCAAAGCTGGTCTGAGCCTGCCCTCTCCAGGCTTTTCAAGTTCCCAAAGGCTTGCTTTCCCAGCTCATTGTTTTTTCCTGCTGGCTGTACATATGATTGCCTTTTCTTTTTTGCAAAGAATCAGATGAGTCAGTCAGTTGCCCTTGCTGGTAATGAAGCTGCGTTAGCAAGCATTGCCAGTTGGGTGTACTGCAAAAACGAGCAGAGGCTCCTGCTGTGGCGAGGCTGATGGTGCTGCGGGCACTGCGAGGGACGAGGCTGCCTGCCCTGCCCTCACACGCCCTGCCCTGTGTCTGCCTGCAGCTGTCGCATGCCCCCAGCTGGCTGCCCCCGAAAGGGGACAGGTCGATTGCTCCCACCTGCATGGGACGTTCACCTTCAACTCCACATGTGCCTTCTCCTGCCAGGAGGGGTTTGAGCCGACAGGAGCATGGAGGCTGCAGTGCACGACTGGCAGGGTCTGGATGGGGCCCCCCCCCCCCTGCAAAGTTTGAGCCCCGGCGCGCTGCTA